GTTGAGTACCGATTTGGCGCAATTCGGCTCTATCCCAGCCTTTCCGCACTTTTTTCTTCCGACTTTCATTTCTTTTTTTCTTTAGGTTGTGGTAGAGTTTTCAGAAATCGTCAGCAAGTCTGCTGTAAAGATGAATACGGAAACCCGGATAAAATCGTATTTGACTGCGGCGCAGCAACGTGCCGCGCGCCCTCGGTTGGCCGATTTTTATTGCATAGGCGTCATAAGGGTCGGCCGATCCTTATGAAGTATGGGAATATACTAATCTTTCTGCACACAAAGAGATCGCACGTAATCGCGTTCTTGCATTTATATCCAGTTGTAAATTAACTTTTTATCATGGTCTTGTTTTTTGCAATTTTGAGTGTTACCTATAAAATGTTTAGATTTTCACTGCAATTTATGCCAAAAAAGTTATCGAAACTTCTATCTACTCAGGAAGCATATTAAAAATGTGAGTTGTGCTACTCGAAAAATTGGGAAGTTTCTGTATCCTTGCACAATTATTGTTGAGAATACCATTGATTACATCTTGCTAATTTATTGTAAGTGTTATATATTCAGGTCCATGAGAGAAGTTATGCTAAGTATAGTCACCCAATGAAGTACGCCTGTGATTTTCCTGATTGTAGGAAGACTTTTCCTACTTGCGGTCTTTTAGAAGATCACATCAAAATGCACCAAGGTTTGTGGACATTATATTCCTTTTGTATCAAAGATTATTTTCTTTTGTTTAGGTGTAAGACCTTACAACTGTGCTAACTGTGGCTGCTCATTTTTCGCTAGGGCGAGGTTTGCTGTACATCTTTCCAAGTACCATAGAACGAGCATACGTGACTATTACCACGTTTCTGGACTATTGAAACGAGATCCCCCTTCAGATGCTAATGATTGTCTAAAGCACTTGTAAACTATTTTTCCTGTTTTGCGTTTGGCATTTTTTGTCCTCTTGAACATTTGCAATCGAGGGCGGTTTTCTGGCGTTCAAATCCAAGATTTTAGAATCTTCTCTAGATCATTTCCGTGTGCTGAGCACGAATACCAAATTCCACTAGCGGGAAATCGTCGTTTTTTT